ATATATATATATATATATATATAAACCTATAAAATATTACCGACATTAAAAATACACAATCATTTCATAAACACACACACAAACAAAATAATAATACTGTATTCTAGTTTTAACATATCACTATTCATAACAGAACCATATCATAAATTTGAACACTACAAACAATACATGCTAAAAATTACAATAGATCTTATGCACTTCCCAGTTTAGAGCAAATATGGTTCAAAAAAAGTTCAGCAAAATTACAAGACAGAATTAACATAAGCGTTATGTCATAATTAAATCGAATCAACTGTTAACAAATTATTTGTTTGGTCTACCTTTTGCCAGTCTTTGTCCTTTAGCACCCCCTGGCGCCTGGTTTTGCTAGTGAAATCTATAACCACTTGTTTTTCTATTAACAAATAGAACCCAGTGGAACTAATAAAAAACAAATGGCATGATTTTTGTGTTTTTTCTCCTAAAATGTGTACAGGCAGCCTTGCCCCCCCCCCCGTATGTTTTGTACATTTGTGAAAATTATAAGTGTGGACAACACCAAAGACTTCGAACAGGGAACCCAAAACCCCTATTTTGTGTGAAAATACATCACTTTAAAATGGTGTATTTCTAGACAGACTTGTTATTTATAACAGACATTTAATAAAACCATGTTAAGGTCAGAAATGGAAAGACACAAAAATGGAATTGTTCAATAAAGTACTTATTTTAATATTTGAATTCCATCCTACATTGTATTTTTGAAATTGACATGCAAGCTATACAGTATCTTATTTATTTGGTAAGACATTACAAATATCAAAAATCCTGAGTAGCTATTAAACTGAAGAAGTATCTAATATTTGTCATATTAATATCGATCATTAAATTATCAAGCTCTACTTTGCGTTCTCGGTTTTATCCTAGAAGTAGGCTTAAACAACGTACTGAAGTAGGCTTAAACAACGTACCTTGTTTGTTCAGTGGTATTAGAGGAGGCTTAATATGAAGAAAAGACGGCGTACAGATCGAAGGGCTTGATGAAGATAACTCGTCACGATCTTCTGGGTAGAGACCATCCCTTCCCATGGCAGCCAGTTGTCGCCCTTTTGGTAAAAACATCACCAAGAAGATAATGATGGCATTCGTAACAATCCCAAACGCCATGGCAGCATCGTGGTAACGTGGTTCTGTTGCTATGGCAACTAGTATCCAGGAGAACCACACTGGAATTGTGAAACCAATGGCAATTCCAATGAACATGGCTTCCCGGTGGTTCTCGCGGTTCCCTTTAGCTTTTATGCTTAGAACTGTAACGCACAAAATTAAAAACATTGGATAAATAAGAACCATTAACATGTTCGCAACACTGGTGTTACAAGTAGGCGTTTCAGTTCGACTGATAATCGCTGGAGGGCGCTGAACAACCCACTGAACACCAATCACAACCTGCACAATAACCACGAAGAAGAGCAAGAGCCCTTGGTAAGAAGCTGGAAGATAGACACCAGCGTGAAGACTTAGGAGAAATACACTTTTAACCAATAGTGTTGCAAACACTAAAGTATAAGCAAGCCCTAGTCCGACACGAAGTACTGTGCATGTAATCCAATGGGCCGTTGGTACAAAAGCAAATCCCATCATCGAACATAGGAACAAACCCAGAAGTAATATCTGACCAAGAAATAGATGTCTTCGGCTAGGCGTTGTTCCACGGGCCTTATAAATAACGAATACTTCAAAAATGGCTATAATAATAGCATTTAACGACGACAGTACTATAAGTGGGAGTATCCAAAGGTCATCTCGCAACCGCAAAGAGTCGCTGAACAAAGAATTTGTGTCCTCGTATTGTTCTGGGAAGTACTGGTGACTGAAGTCTTTCATTGCAGATCTAGAGGTTTCTATGGAAACATCAGGCAGGGTAAAGTCTGAAACAGGCGATTGAGCAACTGACGACTGAATGATATCCATAGCGCTCACAGTTAACAGTAGCGCCACCTTACGAGAATTATGGGTGTGTGGTTTCACTTTTCCTTTAAATGATGATATTCACAGGTGCCCTCTGCTGTAGACAATCCTGGGTAAAGAAAAGAAAAAGAAATATCCACTCACCTCAATGATAAAACACATAATAAAACAAAATACGTATTTCATGAACACATATAAAACAGAATACAATTTCGAAAGTAGATAATGAGCGGAGATCATGAAGCAAGACAACTACTGAGATTCTTGATTAAGATTGACGAGATTTAAACACTTCCAGAAAGAGCGAATTCCAGAAATTAGAACATAGTTGATGGATTTTGTCAAATAAAGTAAGAAATTAGGCTTAAGATAGAAATAAGAGCACATGTATGATTTGGTATCTATACAAGAAACATTCGAGTAAACAGAACCTATAAAAACGTGACTTTGGAGAGAAAAATTCGTCAGTTCTTGTCGTTCAGATCCATCGTACCTACTTTACCGTTTCAATGAAACAGGATCGGGGAGAGGTGAGAGGGGGGGTCGTACAAGCGTCAGAGGAATGTGGCTTGAGCCATAACTCACACGAAGCAGATGGAGAGCAACTTCATCCTTGAACCTTCAAGGGATGTATGTCTGTGACTCGGCGACGTCGGGAGCCGCAAAAACGTTTAAATCACGTGTGTTGGTTTACGTTATTTCGTGTATACCATTGCGAGTGTGTGTAAATATCCAAAGTAACCTCGTGTCTCTCGACAACGTGCCTCGCAGTCTACTGACCTTGGCTGGTCTTGCAGGGACGGGGTGTGTTCAGCTGTATACCAAGGCAGTGATTACCATGCAGTGACCAGACAAACAGACAGCGTAGTGAAAAATACAAAAGCGAGAAATGAAATGGAAAAAAAACGACCGACGTCAGTGTTACATACGACACTCCACATTAACGAAATTTCACCCGATCGTTAATGAACTGTTAGAATAGTATGGAGCCCATCTTTAACAATGTCGAAAGAAACAAAATAAAAAACTATTTCCTCATCATTCTTCTCGGTTTGGTTTATTCCTTAGAAGTATTTATACAATTCTCCAACCAAATTACGCTGTTTATTCGAAAATATTCATTTGAAGAGTTTAATTTATGTTTGTTTTTTTTTATTTTACTTTTTCAATGCTCGTAAAATTCCAAAAAACTGTCGACGAATTGGTTTCGTACGAGAAATAATTGGGATATGCCTATATTAGGTCGTCTAACATTTATTTATTTGGTAAGATATTACAAATATTAAAAATCCTAAGTGGCTATTAAACTGAAGAAGTATCTAATATTTGTCATATTAATATCGATCATTAAATTATCAAGCTCTACTTTGCGTTCTAGGTTTTATCCTAGAAGTAGGCTTAAACAACGTACTGAAGTAGGCTTAAACAACGTACTGAAGTAGGCTTAAACATCTATTTTTTTTAGATGTTTAAATACCTGGAAAGGCCTTTAATAACATTTTCCTTCGTCAGCCATAGAAACCACTGCTTCTTATAGATCTCCTCTGTAAGTTTTCCCAACGTATAAACTGTCCTGAGCTACCCGCGGGTTAAACTGTCAATGTGGGGTGTGTCTAATGATTTAGGTTTAATTTTTTTTTTTTTGGAAGACGACACAGGTGTTCGCCAGCGTGAAACACGGTTCCCGCCATTTCTCACCACAGAGAAATAAAAAAAAAACGGCAGTAAATTCGCTATTTTACCACCGAATGCAATAAACTGTCCTTACAAATTCCTCTCTGCAACACTGCCAATCACACGTCTCTGAGAGCCAAGTTAAAAAGAATGAAATGGGCTATTTATTCGTCCATCATGGTTGTCCTTACTGTTCCCATGGAAACCCAACTAGCCTCTCATTACCCAGAAACAACGTCCAAAACGTCCGGGTTTAAATTTATTGTTTGACTGAAGGATACAACGGCACCTACCAGAACGAAGGGCTTCGTCCACATCTTAACAGAAGGTGAACAAACTCTGGGACCTTGACATTAATTTACAGAGGTGTGCTATTCTTCCTAAAAATAACGAACACGAAGTTTACGTTTTCAAACTTTAATTGCATCATTTTCTGCGATTGGAAAACAAATTGTTCAAATAACTACTACTCTTGATGCACGAGTGCTTTGAATGGAAATATTTGCCTATAGTTCCGTGTGTTTAGGATAAAACCTGTAAGTGTTGACTCTCCCACGATTAAAAAAAACAACTCTGTTTTTTTTATACAAGAATCTAACATGATTTGTGAACATTGTTTAAGAAATTTATAGCTATCTAAAAATCACGCGGTTAGTCTACTGGTTGGCGTTCCGGACTGTGAATCTGAAGGTCCATGGTTTGCGTCCCATTGCCACAAATTCGCGCTCTGCACTTTGAAGCCGTGGGTGTGTTAGAAGAGTGGGATTTCACCATCACTCTTATAACGCACCCACGGCCTCAAGAGTTAACAGTAAACGCTATTAACTAGCTGCCTTCCCTTCTAGACTATCAATTCAAAATTAGGTTGGCGCTGATATCCCCGAGAGAAACAAAACAGAGCATGCGCATAACTGGTTCACGTTGTTTATTTGTAAATAGTTGTTAGATAGCGGGGAATTAGTTTTCAACTAGTATATAACATCCAGTGGTTCGAGTTTCAATGTAAAACTGATACACAGGCCGGCGTGGCCTAGTGTGATCCGAGAAGCTGATGGTTCGCGTCCCGTTGTCACAACAACACATTGACCTGGGTGCGTGGAACAAGAAAGCATCGATTGAGGAAAGCAACAGGAAACCGCTTCTTTCTCGTGACGGTCAAGATAGCCTCTACTCTCTAAAGTTTCGAATACAAATGTTCTTCAAAACGTAAAATGATCTTAACTAATACTTTAACACAAGAAACAAACAGTGAATTTATGAAGAACGGTTCGACCTTTGCAAACATGCTAACAACAACCAGTTATGAAAACAATTAATCATAAGCGAATTCCAAGCGTACAGGATAAAAATAAAAATAATATCACTTGCAGATGTAAATCTGGAGGAAGATAACTGTTGAAATAGGATTGTTTGTTTGTTTGTTTTGAATTTCGTGCAAAGCTACACGAGGGCTATCTGCGCTAGCCGTCCCTAATTTAGCAGTGTAAGACTAGAGGGAAGGCAGCTAGTCATCACCACCCACCGCCAACTCTTGGGCTACTCTTTTACCAACGAATAGTGGGATTGACCGTCACATTATAACGCTCCCACGGCTGAAAGAGCGAGCATGTTTGGTGTGACGGGGATTCGAACCCGCGACCCGCAGATTGCGAGGCGAGTACCCTAACCACCTGGCCATGCCGGGCCGTTGAAATAGGAATCAAAAGATGTTGAACGTAACCATTCCGAGGTTAACTTTATAATTCTTCAGTTACTTGCGTTAGGCCTGGGTGCTTAAAATATTAGTTAGAAACAAGCGCACCCATTCACACACAATAATAATGTTAATAATATGGTGTTAAACATCCTTGCCCTAATTCTCATGTGTTTTGACAAATACAGTTCACACCGTTAACAGCTGTCAAACGATTTGTTAACGTAAATAGAATTTCAACCACTGCTGTCGGTTATATCCAAGCTGCCCTGAAAAGCACCGGTATTAGCCGAAAGGTCTCGTCGGCACTAGATATTAGATAAGAACGGCTTACTCATTATTATTCAGTTCTTTACTTTGACGCTCAAATTATTAATAACTAAAATGCTGTTTTTACGGAATTAAATTATAATAATTGTCATCAGTGAATATCTTAATATAAATGCAGGATACTAAAAAATTGGGTTAATTAAAAGGAAATGGTTGGGTAGCCGGAGACGGCCAATGGCAGTAAACACGTACACTACGATTCCCGTGATCTCCGCATCTCGCTTACGCTCGGGAAGGTTTAGGGAACGTAACAGCGTAAAGAACGATATTCGCCAGCGCTCGGTCCACGAACTCCCCTCTACCGGTGATCAGCTAACCTTAAAAATACGAAACAGAAATTTTAATAAACAGATTTGATAATATACATAATAGCTTTTTGACTACGTCATTCAACCTATTTAAAACTCAAACACGCAAGAAAAATCATATTCAAAAATTTAAATTATACACACGTCCATTCTCTGTCATAATACAGAGAAACAACCGAAAGAATATAATTATATGGTCATCGTTTAGACAAATACTTTCGCCAATATTGACTTGAATAAATTTAATGCGTTTTTTTTTTCATGGTATTGTTGTAACTAATTGTTATTCCTGCTCTTCCCTAATGCTGATTATTACACCAGACCTTGTCTGCAATAGAAAACAAATTTACAGATCACGTACAAGCGGATTTACACCGATGACGTGAGTGTAATTAATTACTTTTGTAGTGATATTATTCAAGGTAAACTTCAAATTACACACAATCACGTCTCTGCGGTTCAGAGGAAAGCTCGAGGCCTACAACACTTGAATCCGTGGTTCGTTCTCTGCAGGGGGGCAGCTCTAGCAGTCCCTTGTAAAGCTTTGCACCCCCCCCCCAAAAAAAACAAACTTAAGATCACTTAATTAAGCAAAGGTAGGCTTCCTGTGACTGAAGCTTACAGTTTTAAAGGTACAGTTCTTATAGTCACCAACTGTTTTACAGATTCGTTCTCTCTTCCTGTGGCTGAAGCTTACAGTTTTAAAGGGTACAGTTCTTATAATCACCAACTGTTTTACAGATTCGTTCTCTCTTCCTGTGGCTGAAGTTTAGTTTTTAAGGTACAGTTCTTATAGTCACCAACTGTTTTACAGATTCGTTCTCTCTTCCTATGGCTGAAGCTTAGTTTTAAAGGTACAGTTCTTATAGTCACCAACTGTTTTACAGATTCGTTCTCTCTTCCTGTGGCCGAAGCTTAGTTTTTAAGGTACAGTTCTTATAGTCACCAACTGTTTTACAGATTCGTTCTCTCTCTTCCTATGG